GCAGGTACACAAAAGAGCCTTAGACATCTGGACCAGGGTGAATAGGTCTAACGTGAGTGTAACTTAAATCCTAAAAACAGGGGAAAGAGACTGTCAGAAGTGCTGTATGAAGGTATATAACTGAGGCTTCTTCAAAGTTGAAAGACACTAAGTCAGAGATTCAGGAACCCCTGGCATGTTAACACAAAGAAATACATACCTGAAAGAAAACAATGGCCAATCTAGAACTTTATTCTGTTAAAATTATCCTTTGAAGGTGGATAATCAATAAATGTTTTCATGGAAGCAAAAACAGATCATTCATAGTCAGCAGATGTGCATTAAAATAAATACCAAATGGAATTGTTTAGGAAGAAGGAAAAATGATTCTAAATGAAGAATACAGGAAAAACGAAGACTAATAGAAAGGGTAAATACGTTGGAAAATTTAACCATGAGTGCACAAAATAGCAATAGTAATAATAATTTGTGGAGGTTTATGATATATGTGGAATTAAATTACTTGCCAAGGATGACACAACAGCCAGAAGGAGGTTCTATCATTCTAAAGAGCTCCAAAGCTCTCCCATTGTCCGAGTGGTAAAGTTGTGATTTAAGGTAGATTCTAAAAGGTTGAAGATACATGTTGTCATCTGTAGGGTATCCACTAAAGAAAAACAGAAGAAGAAAAACTGACAACCTAATGGAAGTTTACAAAACAGAATAATTTAAAAATCCACTTGATTAATACAAAATAAGGCAGGAAAGGAGAGGAAAAGCGATACAAATAGAAAACCAATAGAAGATAAGGCTAATTCAAAAACAAATAGTAAGAAAGTAGATTTAAATCAGGGGAATAATTGCATTAAATATAAACAGATTAAATTCCAAACGAGAAGGACCCGTCTTATTTCTCACCTGCAGAGAAACACGGGTCTGTGTCTCGCCTACTACAAGGGGTTTCGAAGGTGCACGTGCTTGTGAATCAGCTGCGGAGCTTAGCGAGGTGTCTGCCTCCCCGGGCCCGACTTCAGCATTTAGGGCTGGGATGTGAGAAGCTGCATGTTGAACAAGCCCCTGACCTGTCTTTGAGGGACAATAACGTATTATGTGGAAGGGATGGGGACAGGAATGAGGATAAATTGGAAGCATAGAGATTAGCTCTCGTGGAGCTTAGCGCTTAGCAAGGGAAGGGCACAAACACACTAATAAGTGCCGTGCAGGAAACTGTAAAATGATTGTCTTCAGGGAGGACCTTTGCCCTGGTGTCGGGGCCTGGAGCCAGAGGGCCCCCTCATCTGAACTACTCAGATCCCGGTGACTCGGGACGGCCCAGCTGTGGGCAGGATCCATGCACACTCAGGTGTTTATTTACTGGTGCAGCTCAGGCAAAGAAAGTTAAACCCTGCTGGAGCACAGCAGGGAGAGGAGCCGGCCACCGTGTGGGGACAGTGAGCCTCCACCTTGTCCAGGATGCCCGCTCCCTGCAGCCGGTCGTCTGCGCACCAGCCAAGGCCTGCTGGACACGGACCACAGGTGGGGTGAGGCTGTGGGCTCAGGGGCCCAGGCAGCTGCCTGTTCACCGGCTCCTGGTCTCCCTGGGGGTCCCGGTGCTCAGCAAGCGAAGGTGAAATAGGGATTTCATCCCGCAGCAGGAGGGGGCACGCCAGCCCCATGGTGCTGGGAAGCTCTTTCTGACAGCCCCTGGGGTGCTGGCTGTGGTTCAGGACCCACAAACTTGGACCTGAGAGGGGTCGCCTGAGATAGAGGCCACGTGGGGTGGGGAGCACAGGCCTGTCCTGCCTCAGCTGCCCAGGGACCTGCCCAGGCCCGCGAGTTTCTCCTGGAGGGCCTGCTGGAGGCGGAGGGGTGTCTCCAGAGTTCCCGGCACCATGGCCCAATATGCCAGGTCTGACTGGGGAGGCGGTGGTGGCCATGCTAATTTACTGATTTGCTTAACTCTACAAAAAAAAAAAAGTGATAGGATATGGATGACTTTCTCCTTTGATCATTTTTGGAATTTTACAATTAATTTTTATTTACCCAGCTAACAATTCTTGCTATTTGTTTTTCAGATTAGGAACAGTTTCTGTTTTCCTGCCCGGACTCTGACGCAAAAGGTGTGTGCATTCTTATTTTAATTTGACAGCTATTGCAAGTTACCTGCCCAAATGCCGGGTCCTGTTCAGTGAGCCCAATAGGAGTAGCTCTTTACTCACAGCCTTGAAAGCTTTGCCTTGCCAATCCAATAAAAAGATATTTGTCATTTCCATTTGCCTAAATAAAGGTTAAATTTTCATCTTTTCATATGTTTATCTTTTTCATATGTTTATTGGTCATTTGCATTTCTCATCTGTAAACTATCCATTCATATCCTTTATCAATTTTTCTATTGAATTATTTATATTTTTCTTATTGCTTTACAGGAGCATATTAAATTAATCCTTTGTTATGTATAAGCAAGATATCTCCTCCTTGTCTTTGTTAATGCAATCCTTTGTTATGCAGAAGTTATAAATTTTGATGTATTCAATTGAGAAACCTAACCCAAGCAAAAGCTGCAAAAAGAAAATGTATGGGCTCACAGAACTGAACAACTCAGAGATAAGGCTTCAGGTGCAGGTGGATCCAGGGGCTCAAACAATGTCATCAGGACACTGCTCCAGCTTTGTTCTTCTTCATTATAGTGTCATTCCAGGTCTCAATAGGGTAGCAACATGGCTCCCAGTAGCTCTATTTATAAGATTCAATATAAGTAACAAAATCTTATCTAA